TTTGCAGATTTTCCTACAACTTTTGTGATATCATACTATGTTAGTACAGTTTTGGTAATATTATACTTAAAATCCTTTTATTCTTGAAATATTAATGTTTATTGCATGTAATATTATATGTAATATTTTTCTTGAATAATTGGTGTTTATTGCATGTAATATTTAAAATCGTTTTTCTTGAGATGTTAATTTCTATAGCATGTAACATTATTATATATAAGATTGTTTTTCTTGAAATATTAAGGTTTGTTGCATGTAACATTATTTTATTTAAAATCGTTTTTCCTGAAATTTAAAAAAAAAACTGAAAAAAAAGTAACACTGGAAAATGAAAAGAAACCCAAAACACCAATCAGAAGGGATATATGCGCCCGTGTTCACAGCAGTGCAATCTACAATACACGTGTTTTTTTTCAGTAAATACATTCAGTTCTGTAAATGTATTTTCTTTTCCTTTTGACTTAATATTTTTTCTCTAGCTTTATTGTAAGGATGCAGTATATACTACAGATAACATACAAAATGTGTGTTGAGTGTTCTCAAGAGGCATGTTAAAAGTAGGATATAAGTAGTTAATGTTTTGGGGAGTCAAAAGCGGATTTTCAACCGTGGGGGGTCAGCACTCTAGCCTGTATGTTGTTCAAGGGTCTACTGTATGTACATGTATTTGTATGTATATATGTGTATACACACATATACGTACACACACATGCATGTGTGCATTATTTGAAAAAGAAGGAAAATAATTTAAGCAAAATAATATTTGTTTCACTTGAGCAAATTTTTAGATCTAAAATAGGGAATTTTGGGAATATATTTAAATCAACAATCATCTCATAAGAATTATTTGATCAGTGATATAATACCCTCATAGATAATTTAAATGGTTTATATTGATGATTATTGACAGAACAATTAAATTCAAGTTTATGTTCTTGACTGTGAACTGTTCTCTTGGTTTCATCTTTAGGTGGTAGAAAGCAGTTCAATATTTTGCTTGAAAATGCATAAAGAAATGGTTTTTAACTTAAAAAGTGTATTAGAACAGTGGAAGAAGAAGTTAAGTTCTGGCTCTCAGATTGTATTAGGTATGTTTTTTAATTTCTCCTTATATTTGGAGAAGGCAGAGGTATTAGGAATCATGCCTTCAATTCATTTCTATATCTCATCTCCAAATTTCTCATCATTTCCCAGATTTATTGAGAATTTGTTAAGATGAATTCCAAAATGAGATTTAAGATTTTAACGTTGCCCTAGCCAGTGTGGCTCGGTTGGGTGTTGTCCTGGGCACTGGAAGGTTTCCGGCTCCGTTTTCTGTTAGGGCACATTCCCTGCTTCCGGGCTTTATCCCCGGGAGGGGGCGTGCGGGAAGCAACTGATGAATGTTTCACTCTTACACCAATGTTTCTTTCTCTCCCTCTCCCTTCCTCTTTCGCTAAAAATCAATAAAAATGATTTTTAAAACATTTAATATTGAAGTGGATCTAGGTGCCCGCCCGCCCCTCCCCCCCCCCGGGCTCTCAGGACATTAGACAGCAACCTTCCTTAGTCTAGACATTCTCCCTAGAGTTCCAGCTTGAGGATCACTGTCTCATTTACATATACACACGTGCCTGTGATGAAGCATGTCATAAGTGATTGTGACATTTAGGATTAGAAATTTAAAAGTCAAAATGTATAAAATAAATGTTAAAATAGATATGGGCAGCCTAAATTTTCAACAAAAAGAGGGTTTTTTTCTTAAGCTAAAAGGAGACCACTTTGCCCTAGCTGGTTTGGCTCAGTGGATAGAGCGTTGGCCTGCGGACTGAAGGGTCCCGGGTTCGATTCTGGTCAAGGGCACATGCCCAGGTTGCGGGCTCGATCCCCAGTGTGGGGCGTGCAGGAGGCAGCTGATTAATGTCTCTCTCATCATTGATGTTTCTCTTCTCTCTCTCTCTCTCTCTCTCTCTCCCTCTCCTCTCTCTCCCTCTCCCTTCCTCTCTGAAATCAATAAAAAAATATATATTAAAAAAAAGAGAGAAAAGGAGACCGCTTTTCTCTGGAATTTAATCACAGGGCTGTGGCATGTATTAGAAACAATGGGAAAGCCCCGGCCCAGTAGCTCAGTTGGTTGAGTGTTAGCCTGACATGTCAAGGCTGTGGGTTCTGTCCTGGCTCAGGGTGCATACAAAAAGCGTCCAGGGACTGCATAAACCAGCGAAACAGCAAAGCGATGTCTCTCTCCCCGCCCCCCTCTTCCTCTCTCTCTCAAGTCAATAAATAAAAAGAAAAAGGGCCTGGCTGGTGTGGCTCAGTGGTTGAGCATAGACCTATGAACCAGGAGGTCACAGTTGGATTTCCAGTCAGGGCACATGCCTGGGTTGTGGGCTGACAGGGGATTAGGGGTCGTGCAGGAGGCAGCCAATCAATGTTCTCTCATCATTGATGTTTCTCTCTCTTCCTCTCTCTTGGGCTGACTGGGGCTTAGGGGTCGTGCAGGAGGCAGCCAATCAATGTTCTCTCTCATCATTGATGTTTCTCTCTCTCTCTTCCTCTCTCTTCCTCTCTGAAATCAATAAAAATATATATTTTTTAAAGGAAAAGGCTTTTTTGCATCTAAAAAGTAAAATGCAATTAAGAAATGTATTGAAGTACTACAGGCCCGATGCATGAAATTCGTGCAAGGGCCTTGGCCCCTGCTGCCATGGCAGCCACCTCTGCCTCCGTTCCCACCCACCTCTGCTTCGGCTCCTGCCCGCCGTGGCTTTGTCCAGAAGGAAGGACGTTCAGTCTAATTAGCATATTATGCTTTTATTATTATAGATTATTATAGTTGGTTGCTGGAATTGTTTGGTAGAGTGCAGTAATGCCCTAGTCTCATTTGAAATTGTTGTTATCCTTTTCTCTAGCCTTAACTGATGACTGCATACCACTGTTGGCCATTACTGATGCCACGTGTGTGATTCACTTCAGCTTTCCTTCCTCACCAAAAATTTTTGGTGGACGCCTGTATTGCATGTCTGATCATTTTCAGAGTTTACCTGAACAGGTTTGATTATGTTTTATTATCTTTAAATATTTTACTGTGTAATAAAAAATACAGAATCCACAAAGTTTTGTTGTTCAGACTGGTATGGATGATCCACTTCCTTTATTCACCCTGATTTTAAGGGTTCTCCTGCAAAACAGGGAGGTAAAAAGGCCAAATCTGTCTTGCTGTTGACGGAGAGAAGTTCATGCCATGCTGGGGGTGTTTTGCGATACTTGGAAAGAGCAGATGCCAAGATTCCTTCGGAGCTGTATCAGTTTACTGCAGGCGTTCTAGAAGCGAAGGAGGACAAGAAAGCCGGAAGGCCTCTCTGTCCGTATCTTAAGGCTTTTGGATTTTGCAAGTAAGTCAGGCATCTTTTTTTATCATTGAGATACACAGTAAAGGGCACAGGTGGTCAGTTTACAGCTCGATGACTTGTGACATGTGTGCACCCATGTAAACCACCACCCGGCTCTGAGAGAGCGCCCAGAGACCCTCTCATGCTCCTTCCCAAGGTGCCCTTCCTCCAGAAGTAACACCCTCCTCATATCCATCAACATTGATCCGCTTTGCTTGTTTTTTTTTCTTCATATTCAACCTAATATCTGTGACATTTATCTGTGTTGTTATGGATCTCACCCTTTTGCTTATTTGTTTATTTAGTGGCTCAGTATTCTATTATATGAATACTAGAGGCCCGGTGCATGAATTCAAGCAAGGGTGGGGTCTCACAGCCTGGCCGGTGATCGGGGCTGATTGGGGCCATCTCGCTCAGTCCCAATCGGGGCTGACTGGCTGGGGGAAGGGACCGCGGGAGGTTGGCTGTGGGAGCGCACTGACCACCAGGGACAGCTCCTGTGTTAAGCACCTGCCCCCTGGTGGTCAGTGCGCATCATAGCTACCAGCCGGTCGGTTGGTTATACCGGTCACTTAGGCTTTTATGTATAGTATATAGAAGATAACACAATATATATATCTATTCTTCTCTTGATGATCCTATGACCCCCTGGTGGTCAGTGCGCATCATAGTTACCAGCCGGTTGGTTGGTTATACCGGTCACTTAGGCTTTTATATACAGTATATAGAAGATAACACAATGTATATATCTATTCTTCTCTTGATGATCCTATGGGTTGTTTCCAGTTTGGGCTATTTTATAGGAAGCGGCTGTGAACATTCTTGTACCTATGTTTTTGTGGAAATATGAACCCATTTCTCATGATTATATACTTTGGAGTGGAATTGCTGGATCATGGGATAAGCATATGTTTAACTTTTCCAAAGGGCTTGAACATTTTACGGTTTAAT